CTAGAGCAATACTGACGAATATCTTGCATATCATTATACAGTACATTTTAAAAATGAACTACACAATCACAACACCTTAATGAAGGGCAGAAATATACATAGACCATATAATAAAATTTACCTTAAATTTATATCAATAAGCCAAGATCTATACCAAAGCAAATTATTCATATCTATATCATACCCCCTTTATATGTAAAGAGATATTTAAAATTAATATTTGGGAATATTTGCATAATTTCTCCAAACTGCTTCCTGCTGTTTGTGGGCACTGTTAATCAGGTCTCTCATGATGTATCCTGTGTGTTAGGTTCATCTCAGTCAGCAGTTGGGCAAAATAATTTTTTGAGGGTGTTCATGGTGAACTTTTAGGGGGTCATGCACTATCAAACCACACCAGTCTGGAAGCAATCCACAGGTTCTCATCCTCTGTGGAAACAAGAGAAGAACTGCTTTTTCCAAAGCATCATATCGTTTGACCCAAATTTGGAATTTGTGATACCTTTATAATATACATGCTGGTTTAGCTTAGCAGCCCATACAATGAAATGTCTGTCTGAATTTAGCTCCTACACAGACAAAAAATTAAAAGAAAGCACAATAATATACATAATCCAGACTCTCTGTGAATTTTCCATCTTTTGTGGTTTATTTTTCTTTATTCCTTTTAATCTATGACTGTCTGTACTATGTCTTTAAAGACTTTACCTTTTTTTAATCCCAGCACTCAGGAGACAGAGGCAGGTGGATCTCTGCGAGTTCAAGGCCAGCCTAGTCTATAAGTGCTAGTTCCAGGACAGGCTCCAAAGCAACACATAGACAGAAGAACCTCCCACACCAGATGTTCAATCGTGTCATAAGGACATGGGCTCAACTATGCTCATAGAAGCATTGTTTGTTATAGCCAGAACTTGGAAACAATTTAAACGCCCATTGACCAAAGAATGGATAAGGAAAATGTGGTACATTTACACAATGGAGTACTACACAGCAGAAAAGATAATGACATATTGAAATTTGAAGGCAAATGGATGGAGCTAGAAAACATATTGAGTGAGGTAACCCAGACCCAGAAAGACAATTATCACATGTACACACTCATAAGTGTTTTTAAACATAAACAAGGAAACCAGCCTACAAATAACAATCCCAGAGAACCTAGACAACAATGAAGACCCTAAGAGTATATAATCTACATGCATATAATGTACATGGGAAGTAGAAAAGGACAAGATCTCCTGAGTAAATTTGGAGCATGGGGACCTTGGGAGAGGGTTGAAGGGGAGGGGAGAGGCAAGGAGGGGTTTAGAGGAAAATGTGTAGCTCAATAAAAGAAAATAAACTTAAATTAAAAAAATCAACAAGAGTACAGGCTTTCGTAGTAAGACCTAATGATTCTCTGAATTTCCTCAGTGTCTGTTGTTATGTCTCCCTTCTCATTTTTGATTTTGTTAATTTGAATGTTCTCTCTATGCTTTTTGGTTAGTTTGGAAAAGGGTTTGTCAATCTTGTTGATTTTCTCAAAGAACCAGCTCTTTGTTTCATTGACTCTTTGTATTGTTTTCTGTGTTTCTATTTTGCTTTAAGTTGCTAATGTGAGAAAAGTTAGTAGTACTAAGTGCCCACACAAAGAAAACAGAGAAAGCTCACATTAGCAACTTAACTGCACACCTGAAAGCTCTAGAAAAAAAAGAAGCAGACTCACCCAGGAGGAGTAGAAGACAGGAAATAATCAAATTGAGGGCTGAAATCAACAAAATATAGTTGTCATCAAAAGCCTCCCAACCAAAATAAGCCAGGGCCGCATGGTTTTATTGCAGAATTCTACCAGAACTTTTAAGAAGACCTAATACCTATACTCATCAAAGTGTTCCACATAATAGAAACAGAAGAGTCATTGCCAAACTTTGTTTATGAGGCTATAGTTACCCTGATACAAAAACCACATGAGACTCAACCAAGAAAGAGAATTACAAATCAATCCCACTCATGAACATGTATGCAAAAATCCTCAATAAAATACTGGCAAATAAAATCCAAGAAGACATCAGAAAAATCATCCATCGTGATCACGTAGGCTTCATCCCAGGGATGTAGAGCTGGTACAACATATGAAAATCTATCAATGTAATCCAACATATAAATAAACTGAAAGAAAAAAAACATATGATCATTTCATTAGATACTGAAAAGGCATTTGTCAAAATCCAACACCCCTTCATAAAAAAGGTCTTGGAGAGATTAGGGATACAAAGATCATATCTAAATATAATAAGAGCAATATGCAGCAAGCCGACAGCTAACATCAAATCAAATGGAGAGAAACTGAAAGAGATTCCACTAAAATCAGGAATAAGACAAGGCTGTCCACTCTCTTCATATCTCTTCAACATAGTTCTTGAAGTCTAGCAATAGCAATAAGACAGCATAAGGAGATCAAGGGGATTCAAATAGGAAAGAAGAAGTCAAAATTTCATTATTTGCAGTGATATGATAGTGTATATAAGTGACCTCAAAAATTCTACCAGAGAACTCCTACAGTGATAAATACTTTCATTGATGTGGCAGGATACAAGATCAACTCAAAAAAATCAGTCTCCCTCCTATACACAAAAGATAAAAGGGCTGAGAGGGAAATCAGAGAAACATCGTCTTTCACAATCACCACAAATAACAAAATAACACTGACCATGGAAGTAAAAGACCTATTTGAAAAGAACTTTAAGTTTTTGAAGAAAGAAATTGAAGAAGACACCAGAATATGGAAAGATCTCCCATTCTCTTGAATAGGTAGGATCCACATGGTAAAAATGGCAATTTTACCAAAGTCAATCTATAGATTTAATGAAATCTCCAACAAAATTCTTCACAGACCTTGAAAGAACAATAATCAACTTCATATGTAAAAACAAAAAACCCAGGATAGCCAAAAAAATCCTATACAATTAAGGAACTTCCAGAGGCATTACCATCCCTGACTTCAAACTCTATTACAGAGCTACATGAAAACAGCTTGGTATTGGCATAAAAACAGAGAAAGTTTGAAGTAGCCTTCAATGCATGGGCACAGGAGACTACTTCCTAAGTATAACCCTGATAACACAGACACTAAAAACAACAGTAAATAAATGGGACCCAATGAAACTGAGAAGCCTCTGTAAAGCAAAGGTCACATTCAATAAGACAAAAAGGCAGCCTACTGAATGGGAAAAGATCTTCACCAACCCCTCATCAGACAAAGGACTGATCTCCAACATATATAAAAAACTCAAGAAATTAGACATTAAAATTCTAAATAACCCAATTAAAAAACCGTGTACTGAACTAAACAGAATTCTCAACAGAAGAACTTCAAATAGGCAAGAGGTACTTAAGGACGTGTTCAACTTCCTTAGCTATCAGGAAAATGCAAATCAAAACAACTCTGAGATACCTCTTTTCACCTGTCAGAATGTCTAAGATCAAAAACACCAATGATAGCCTATGCTGGAGAGGATGTGGAGTAAGGGGAACAATCATCCATTGCTGGTGGGAATGTAAATTTGTACAACCACTTTGGAAATGAGTATGGTGATTTCTCAGAAAATTGGGACTCAACCTACCTCAGGATCCAGCAATACCACTCTTGGTATTGCTCAATCATACTACAAAAGCATTTGTTCGATTTGTTCATAGCAGCATTATTTGTAATAGCCAGAACCTGGAAACAAGTTAGATGCTCCTCAACTGAAGAATGGATAAAGAAAGTGTGGCACATTTACACATTAGAGTACTACTCAGTGGTAAAAAAAAAAAGTACATCTTGAATTTTGCATGCAAATGGATGGAAATAGAAAACCCTATCCTGAGTGAGGTAACCCAGTCCTCAAAAATGAATATAGTATGTGCTTACTCATAAGTGGATACTAGCCATAAACAAAGGATATTTAGCCTGTAATTCATGATCCTAGTGAAGCTAAGTAATAAGTTGAACCCAAAGAAAATCATATATAGACGCTCCTTGGAATTGGAAACCGACAAGATCGCATGACAAAATTGGGAGCTTAGAGATGGGGGGAGGTAGAAGGAAGGGAAGAAGGGGAGGGTTGATGAGAACATGAGGGAATGGGATAGTCGAGATTCAGGAAGGACAGATAGGAGAGCAAGGAAAGAGATGTCTTGATTGAGGGAGCCATTTTGGGATTAGCACGAAACCTGACCCTAGTAAAATGCTCAGGAATCTACAAGGATGACCCCAGCTAAAACCCTAAGCAATAGAAAAGAGGCAGCCTGAAGCGGCCTTATGCTCTAGTCAGACTGATGATTATCTTAAATATCACTATAGAACTTTCGTCCAACAACAGATGGAAACAGAGGCAGTGACACACATCAGAGAACTGGTCTGAGCTTCCAAGGTTCAGTTGAAGAGTGGAAGGAGTGAGAATATGAGCAATGAGGTCATGGCCATGAGGGGTTCACCTACTGACACAGTTTGCCTGAGCTAATGGGAGTTCACAAACTCCAACTGGACTGGGAGTGAATGAGCATGGGATCAAACTAGTCCCTCTGAATGTGGTTGCCTGTTTGTGCAGACTGAGGGGCTACTGACAGTGGCACTGGGATCTGTCTCTTCTGCATGTACTGGCATTTTTGGGATCCTATTCTTTTCGGATGTATACCTTGCTCAACCTAGATGTAGTAGGAAGGGCGTTTGACTTGTCACAGAGAAGGGTGCCTTGTTCTCATTAGGATTGGAATGGGAGGGGGGAATGTTGTGGGGAGGGAGTGGGAATTTGGATTGTTATTTTTTAAAAAGTATTAAAATAAATAAAAAAGCTGAAAAAACCAAAAAAAAAAATAAAAATGCACCAAAGATAAAAAAAAAAACAGTACAGGAAGTATATAGAGGAACTGTTGCTTAGCCCTGAGCTTTGGTGTCGAATTGAGTCAGCGTCAAGTCTTGAGAAAGAGCATATTCACTTTCTGTTTGTACTGGGTGTCCTCATCCTGACAGCATTCCGGGCTACAGTTTCTTCTATCTCGTAGTTGTTTCCCACTGTGCAGACTCTATCACCAGTTCTGTGTTCTGTTTCTGTGGAGATTGGGCACGAGACACTGCCATGGTCCTTGGAGCTGCTCTTCCTGGACTTGGTAAGTGTGCCATGGGTCATCATTTTTAGCTATTGTGGTAGTGAATACAGAGTCCCAGTTTTATAACCTGGGCTCCTCTCATAGAACTCTTCCTCTGTGAAGACCTGGTCTTGTGGTTGCCGAGGAGTCTTCCTTGACTTCAGCCTGTCCATGGGGACCTGGTCTTTTGTTCTGAGCTCTGGGATCTAACTCAGGACAGATTTCCCTCATCAGTCTTTTGCTCTATTTTCAGTGTTTTTAATGTTGCAGAGGACCTGGGCACAGTATGGTGAGTCTGTTTCCTGTTTTATCCCTGGGGAACTAAGTTGGCTGGGAGTAGCATGGGAGGAGCTTGAAGCATCTTGTGCAGATCCTGAGAAGGGATTTTTCACTGGCAGCCACTGGCACACTTACTTAATGATCCATACTTATTACTGTAGCCATCTCTGGGGTGGGGATTCTAGACTGTGCTCCAGTAATGCCTGCATGATATGTGTCTCAGAAGGATATTGAATAAATGGCACAGAGGAGGGGGCACCTGCACACATGTGTCCTCCTGACGATATAGATATTTGATTTTGAATTTGTTTTCCGTTTTCGTCCTGTCTCTTCCCTCCTTGGCTTTGCCTTGTTCTCTTACAGATTCTGCTCATGTTAAGGCTTGTCATCCATGAGACAGAGTTGAATAAAATACTGTTTAGTGTGTGTGTTGCATAGATGAAATTCATTTGTTTTCAGAGGCTCCCAGGCTTTTTGAAGGTGGGAATAGTATTTGGGTTTTTCATGGACACAAGAGACAAAGTCAGACATAGGTCATTGATTTGAATGGATTTCCTGTTGAATAACCCAGAGAAATGGGACGATTTGGTGATAAGAATGGCAGCCCACAGGGTTCATTCCTGGGCTGATAGGACACAAGTAGAGAAGCCACTGTTAGCAATAAGGTATGAGGGTTATTCTGGCATTGTTTGGGAACAGTAAAGATGATTAGTCCTTTGGAACTAGGCCAGAGCACAATTCTGAAAATGACGACACTTCTCCCTGTTTAGTTTTCTTTCAACAGGACACAAGCTAGAGTCCTCTGGCAAGAAGGGACATCAACTGAGGAATTGTCCCCACCATACTGGCCTGTGGGCTTCTCTGTGGGGCATTTTGTTGATTACAATTGTTGTGGGAGTTACTCTGTAGTCCTTGAGAATGTGGCTCTCTTGATATTGGTTTATTAGCACTTTTTCCTGTGTCTCTCCAGGGCCACCACTCCAGCCTTCCATGTGGGCAGTTCCAGGAGCTGTGGTTTCCAAAGGTAGTGATGTGACCATCTTCTGCAGGATCCTTGCAGGAGCGACCATTGTGCGCCTAGCCCGTATTGCACCCAGTACTGTGTGGTATGATGGTACCCCACAGGGAACCCAGGAGGTGTTTGAATTCAGTCTGAAGAATATAATACAGAGTAATGCTGGGCATTACTACTGTGAATACTTTAGGGGAGATGAATCTTCACGAAGTAGTGACAGTCTGGAGCTGGTGGTGACAGGTGAGTAACTGCCCAAGGACATGGTCCTTCAGGCTCAGTCTCTGATTCAACCTAACTAACCACATATGCCCCATCCCAGGCTCACTCTGCATCTCTGCTCCATTATAGTGATCTCTTCTCTCTCCTCTTCTCTCCTCTCCTCATTTCCTTTTTAGTTTCCATTTTTCTTGACAACTTGATTTTCCTGAAAACTTGATTTTCAGGTTTTTTTTGAGACAAGTTCTCACTTATTTCAAACTGTCCTTGAACTTCCTGTGTAACCAAGCATAATCTTGAATTTATGATCTCTGTGCTTCTATTCTCCATTTCTTAATTGGGTTATTCAGAAGTTTAATGTCTAGTTTCTTGAGTTCTTTATATATTTTGGAGATCAGACCTTTGTTTGATGCAGGGTTGGTGAAGATCTTCTCCCATTCAGTAGGTTACCTTTTTGTCTTAATGACAGTGTTCTTTGCTTACAGAAGCTCCACAGTTTCAGGAGGCCCCATTTATTTATTGTTGCTCTTATTGTCTGTGCTACTGGGGTTATATGTAGGAAGTGGTCTCCTGTGCCTATGCATTGAAGAATATTTCCCTCTTTCTGTTCTATTAGGTTCAGTGTGGTAGGATTTATATTGAGGTCTTTAATCCATTTGGACTTGAGTTTTGTGCATGGTGTTATATATGGATCTATTTTCATTCTTCTACAGGTTGACATCCAGTTATGCCAGAGCCATTTGTTAAAGATGCTTTCTTTCTTCTGTTGTATAATTTTAGCTCCTTTGTCAAGAATCAGGAGTTCATAGGTTTTTGGATTAATATCCGGGTCTTCAATTCTATTCCACTTGTCAACATCTCTATTTTTATGCCAATACTAAGCTGTTTTCATTATTGTGGCTCTGTAATAGAGTTTAATGTCAGAGATGGTAATGCCTCCGGAAGTTCCTTTATTGTGTAGGATCGTTTTGGTTATCCTGGATTTTTTGTTTTTCCATATAAAGTTGATTATTGTTTTCTCAAGGTCTGTGAAGAATTTTGTTGGGATTTAGACGGGGATTGCATTGAATCTATAGATTGAATTGAATCTATAGATTGACTTTGTTAGGATTGCCATTTTCACTATGTTGATCCTTTCAATCCAAGAGCATGAGAGATCCTTCCATTTTTCTCTTCAATTTCTTTCTTTGAAGCCTTAAAGTTATTTTCAAATATATCTTTCACTTCCTTGGTTAGTGATACCCCAAGATACTTATGCTATATGTGGCTATCGTGAAAGGTGATGTTTCTCTGATTTCCTTCTCTGCTTCTTTATCCTTTGTGTATTGAAGAGCTACTGATTTTTTTTTGAAGTCAAGATAACTTTATGTTGTTTTAGCTTAGTAGCCCCCACAATCAAATATCTCTCTGAAGTTAACTCATTAACAGTCAAAAAATGTCAAGGAAAACACAATAAAACACATTATCCAGACTCTCTGTGTATATTCCATCTTTATATGACTTATTTTTTTTAGTCTATCACTTTTTAATATTTTTTCCTGCCACATCACTGAAAGTATCTATCAGCTGTAGATGTTCTCTGGTAGAGTTTTTGGGGTCACTTAAGGTACACTATCATATAATCTGCAAATAACAAAAATTTGACTTCTTCCTTTCCAATTCGAATTCCCTTGATCTCCTTATGTTGTCTTATTGCTATTGCTAGAGCTTCAAGTACTATTTTGAAGAGATATGGAGAGAGTAGACAGCCTTGTCTTGTTCCTGATTTTAGTGGAATGGCTTTGAGATTCTCTCCATTGAATTTGATATTGGCTCTCGGATTGTTGTATATTGCTTTTTATTATATTTAGATATGATCATTGTATCCCTAATATCTCCAAGACCTTTATCATAAAGGTTTGTTGAATTTTGTCAAATGCATTTTCAGTATCTAATGAAATGATCAGATAGGTTTTTTTCTTTCAGTTTATTTATCTGATGGATACATTGATAGATTTTCATATGTTGAACCAGCACTGCATCTCTGGGATAAAGCTTACTTGATCATAATGGATGATTTTTTGATGTGTTCTTGGATTTGGTTTGCCAATATTTTATTGAGAATTTTTGCATCGATGTTCATGAGTGAGATTGGTCTGTAATTCTCTTTCTTGGTTGAGTCTTTATGTGGTTTTGGTATCAGAGTAACTGTAGCTTCATAAAAAGAGGTTGGCAATGATTCTTCTGTTTCTATTATGTGGAACACATTAAGGAGTATAGGTATCAGCTCTTCTTGGAATTCTGGTGAATTCTGCACTAAAACCATCTGGTCCTGGGCTCTTTTTCATTGGGACAGCTTCTATTTTTTCGCAACTTATAGGTGTATTTAAATTGTTCACCTGGTCTTGATTTAATTTTGGTATCTGGTATTTATATAAAAAATGTCCATTTCTTTCACATTTTCCATTTTTGTGGGCTACAGGCTTTTGTAGTAAGATCTAATGATTCTCTGAATTTCCTCTGTGTCTCTGTTTATGTCCCTCTTTTCATTTCTGATCTTGTTAATTTGAGTGTTCTCTCTCTGCCTTTTGATTAGTTTGGATAAGGGTTTGTCAATCTTGTTAATTATCTCAAAGAACCAGCTCTTTGTTTCATTGATTCTTTGGGTTGTTTTCTGAGTTTCTATTTTGTTGATTTCAGCCCTCAGTTTGATTATTTCCAGTCTTCTACTCTCCTGGGTGAGCCTGCTTTTTTTTCTAGAGCTTTTAGGCGTGCTGTTAAGTCTCTAATGTGAGCTTTTCCCATTTTCTTCGTGCTATGAACTTTCCTCTTAGCACTGCTTTCATAGTGTCCCAAAGGTTTGGGTATGTTGTGTCTTCATTTTCGCTGAATTCAAGGAAGTCTTTAATTTCTTTTTCTATTTCTTCCTTGATCCAGTGGTGGATTGGTAGTTGACTGTTTAGTTTCCATGAGTTTGTGGGCTTTCTGGGGTTGGAATTGTTTTCAAATTCTAATTTTATTCCATGGTAATCCAGTAAGACATAGGTGTTTACTCCAATTATTTTGTATCTGTGGATGCTTGCTTTGTTGCTGAGTATGTGATCAATTTTCAAGAAGGTTCCATGAGATGCTGAGAAGAAGGTATATTCTTTCCTGTTTGGGTGGAATGTTCTATAGATGTCTGTTAAGTCCATTTGATTCCTTCCATCTGTTAGTTCTCTTATTTCTCTGTTAAGTTTCTGTCTGTTTGATCTGTCTATTGGTGAGAGAAGAGTGTTGAAATATCCTACTATTAGTGTGTGGGGCTTGATGTGTGATTTTAGTTCTAGTAATGTTTCTTTTACATTTTTGGGTGCTTTTACATTAGGGGCATAGATATTCAGGATTGAGACGTCATCAATCCTGATGAACTGTTCCTGTTACAAGTATAAAATGTCTTCTCCATCTCTTCAGATTGATTTTAATTGAAATAAATTTTGTTAAGTTTTTGGATAGTCACACCTGCCTGTTTCTTAGGTCCGTTTGCTTGGAAAACCTTTTCCCAACCCTTTATTCTGAGGTAGTGTCTGTCTTTGAGGTTGAGGTGTGTTTCTTCTAAACAGCAGAATGTTGGATCCTGTTTTTGTATCCATTCTCTTCACCTGTGCCTTTTTATAGGTGAATTGAGTCCATTGACATTAAGCGGTATTAATGACCATTGGTTGTTAACTTCGGTTATTTTTTTTGGTGGTAGTTTTTGTGTGTTTCTCTTCTTTGAGTTGTGTTGGTGGAGGGTTGCCAGATGTCTGTGCTATTATGGGTATTTTTGACTTCCTTTGGTTGTGATTTTTCTTCTAGTACATTCTGAAAGGCTATGTCTTGTTTAAATCTGTTTTTGTCCTGGAATATCTTATTTTCTCCATCAATGGTGAATGCAAGCTTTGCTGGGTATAGTAGTCTGGGTTTGCATCCATGGTCTTTTAGTGTCTGCAGCCCATCTATCCAAGACCTTCTGGCTTTCATGGTTTCCATTGAGAAGTCAGGTTTAATTCTGATAGGTTTACCTTATATGTTACTTGTCCTTTTTCCTTTGCAGCTCTTAACATTTTTTCTTTATTCTTTATGTTTTGTGTTTTGATTATTACTAGCGAAGGGATTTTTTTTTGGATCCAGTATATTGGGCATTCTGTAAGCTTCTTGAACCTTCATATAAATATTCTCTTTAAGTTGGGAAAGTTTTCTTCTATAATTTTGTTGAATATATTTTCTGTGCCTTTGTGCTGGCTTTCTTCCCTTTCTTCTACTCTTACTATTGTTAGGTTTGGTCTTTTCATGGTGTCCCAGATTTCCTGGATGTTTTGTGTTAAGAATTTGTTGGATTTGCTGTTTTCTTTGATCAATGAGTCTATTTCCTTTATTGTATCCTCAGTGCCTGAGATTCTCTCTTCTATCCCTTGTATTCTGTTGGTTATACTTGTCTCATAGTACCTGTTTGTTTACTCAAATTTTCCATATCCAGCCAATCCTTGGTTTGTATTTTCTTTATTACCTCCATTTTGCTCTTCAAGTCTTGAACTGTTTCCTTCACCTGTTTTTTTTTGTTTTTTTTTTTTTGGGTATCTTTGAGGGATTTATTAATTTTTTTCTAGCTTTTTGTTTGCCTTTTCTCCTATTTCTTTAAGGGAGTTTTTCACTTCCTGTTTAAAGGTCTCCGTCATTTTCATAAGGTTACATTTAAAGTAGATTTCTTCTACTTTTGCTTTAGGATGTTCAAATCTTCTTGTTGTGTGTTCACTGGATTCTGGTGTTATCATGTTGCTTTTCAGGATTTCGAAGGAATTCTTGTATTGGCACCTGCTCATCTCTTCCTCTCTGGATCTGCTCAGCATTGGTGCAGGGACTTTTGCTGGGCTCCAAGGACCTTGCAGACAAAAAGGCAGGCTTGGGAGGCAGGATGGGAAGATATAAAGAAGCCCCAGTGGCAGGAGCACTCCCTGCTGGCTCCCTGGACCCCTCAGCCCTATGGCAGGCTGAGTTGGGAGATCCAAGGACCTTGCAGATGAAAAGGAGTGCTTGGGGGCAGGGTGAAACATGGTAAAGAAAGCCGGCAGCCTGGAACACACCCTGCTGAATGCCCAGAAAAGCCCAGGGAATTGGAGGGTGCCTGGGCTGCTCCGTGGACCTAGCAGATGAAAAGGCAGGCAGGCTTGGGAGTCAGGATGGGAGGATAAGAATAAGCCCCAGTGGCAGGAGCACTCCCTACGGGATCCTCAGACCTCTCAGCCCCCCTTTATTTTTCAAACGTATTTTATTTAATTAATAGTTCATGCCCTTAATCTCCCCAACTCCCGTCTACCCCTATTGCCATCCACCTTTCCCCTGACTCCATTCAGAAAGGGGCAGACCTTCCATGGGCTTGAACAAAGTCTGGCACATCAAATTGAGGTAGGACTGAGCTCCTCCCCTATATCAAGCCTGGGCAAAGTAATCCAGTATGGGAACAGGTTCCCAAAAGTCAGCTAAGTGCCAGGGACAGTTCCTGATCTCACTGCTAGAAGCCTTACAAACAGACCAAACTACACAACTACACAACATGCAGAGTGCCTAGGCTGCTCCCATGCAGGCTCCCTAACTGTTGGTCCAGGGTCCATGGTCTCACATGAACTCAGGTCAGCTATCTCTGTGGGCTCCCCCATCATGACCCTGACCCTCTGGATCATACAATACTTCCCCTCTTTCTCAGGGGACTTCCAGAGCTGGGAACAGTGCTAGGCTATGGATCTCTGCATCTGCTTCCATCAGTTACTAGGTGAAGGCTCTCTGATGACAGTTGGGGTAGTCACCAATCTGATTACAGTATATGGCCAGTGCAGGTACCCTTTTCACTATTGCTAGGAGCCTTAGCAGGGGACAAGCAGGTTGTTTTTAAACTAAAAAAGATCTACCTGCTTCTGCCTCCTGAGTGCTAGGATTAAAGGCCCATGTCACAAAGACCAGCTAATAGAATCTTTTTACTTCCAGGCATTTACAATGAGAAGCCATTCCTTTCTGCTGATGCAGGACCTCAGGAAATCTCAGAAAGAAATGTGACTCTCCTCTGTCACACGCATTCTTCCTTTGACACCTTCATCCTCTGCAGAGGTGGAAATGCCTCCTTTCCCCAGAGCTGCTTACGTCAGGACCACAACACATTTCTCATCTCCCCTGTGAGGCCAGGGCACAGGAGGACCTACATATGCTTTGCCTCTCTCAAACACAGTTCCTACTTGTGGTCACTGCCTAGTGATCTGCTTGAGTTTTCAATCCCAGGTAAGTATGTCTGGTTCTTGTTTCTTATCTTGGACAGGAGGTCTCAAGGGATTCCTGTGGGATATATCAATTCCACTTTATGTCCCCTGTGTGCCACATGCTCTTCTGACTGAAAATGCTCTATTTGTTTTATGGGCTCTGAGCATTATGTGTTGATTTTATTATTTTGGGGACATATTCATCTGGGAAATAGTTGTCTTCATCTGTTCATAATGAGAATCATCTTTCAGAATATTCCTTTCTGAGCTACATGTGTGACAAGTACATCACTAGCCGATGGTGACAGAAAAATTGAAAGAGTATCTGCTGATTTTTCCATTGATGACAGTTTTTTAGATCTCAAGAGATCAACCTGTTTTTTTTCATTAACCTTTTTGGTTATAATATTTCATTTTCTCCCCTTCTTTCCCTTTCCCTAAACCCTCCCATGTACCCCTCCTTGTTCTCTTTCAAATCCATGGCTTATTTTTACATTAATTATATATACATCAGTGTATATTCATGAATATATTTTTGGCATAATCTGCTTATTCTGTATAATGTGATTATATGTATGTTTGTAGAGCTGAGCATTGGTATTGAATAATTAATTCATGTTTTCTTCCTTGGGGAAGACTATTCCCTCACTCTCAGAATCCCTAGTTCCTTATAGTCATTTATGTCGAGTTGAGGCCTCATGGGCTTTCTCCCATCCACTATGGCATGTCTATCTTGTTGTCCTTGTCCAGCTCAAGTTTAGGTTGCTGTGTTTGTGAATCTTTATATATATTGCTTCTGACATTAGTAGGAGACAAATCTCAAAACAAACTCCCTGATCCATTGGCACCAACAATCTTTCTTCCCCTCTTTCACAATGCACGACTTGTTTTGTAGATGTATCTATTGTGACTGAGCTCCACAACTCTGCATTTTGGTTTGTTGTATTTGTAATTGTATATGTAATGTAACTTTTTAATGGTCTTCATCTCTTGCATAAGGAAATTTTCTTGATGAGGGACTGGTGTAGGAAATATTTCTGTATATGTGTTGCTTTTATTGGTTAATGAATAAAGAAGCTGCCTTGGCCTGTGGTAGGTCAGAGTAGAGCTAGGTGGAGGAATGAGGGAACTAAACTGAATGCTGGGAGAAAAGAAGGTGTAGTTGCAAAAAGCCATGTAGCCTCTATTGGGGACAAACACTTGTGCTGGAGCATACTGAAATTTGTCAGTAGGCCACTACCTCATGGTAATATACATATTAATAGAAATTGATCAATTTAAGATATAATAGTAATCCAGAAATATGCTTAGGCTATTGGCTGAACAGTATTGCAAATTATATAGTTTCTGTGTGACTATTTCATGGTCTGGGCAGCTGGGAACAAACAAGTGTCCCCCACTATAAGGAATACGTACTACACTTACTGTTCCACCACCCTTTGGTTATCATGGTACCACCTCTGAACAGTCATCAGTCCAGTGGAGAATGGAGGAAACATTTTTTTGAGTGTTAATTTTGCTTTTCTTATTTTAAAATAATTAAAAAAATTTTTTATTTACATTCCAATCACAGTTCTCCCTTCCACCCCTTCTCCTACCCGTCCTCATTTTCCTCCTATCCCACCCCATCTAATCCTTCCAAATGGTAAGGGCTCCCACAGGGAGTCAACAAAGTCTGGCAGAATGTAGGAAACATTAACAGAAGAAAACTTACATTTCTCGATAGAGGGGACTTATTTCTTTATATCTTAGAACTCCTGGTCCTTTGGGATGTCTTGGGGTTTTAAGAGACTGAACATGTTTCAGGTATGGGGAATAAAGTGGGCAGGGCCATGGAAGTTCAACTTGGGAACATACTTGAGATAGAATCTTGGGATAGAAAATATCAAGTGAGAAATTCCATGTGGGATATAGAAGGGAATGATGCATGATGAGTTTCTGTGTGAGCAGGTGGTGTACAGCGGTCTTGTTGGGGTCTGCACATTTTTAGACATCTACTTTCATGTAGTATTTGCTGATGAAGCTTAATTTTACTGGTGCATCCAAAAAATCCTCTGTGATATTTAGAATTATATATACAATGGGATTTTTGAGATTTATATTTTGTAGACACTTAGCATACATCTCAACAGAGCTACAAATTGGAAAGCATCCATTCATCCCCCTCACATCTATCCTTGTGAGACAGAGAGCCCATCTGTTTCTTTTGAGCAGTAATTCTTCAGGGATCTTCTTTGCTGTCAGTTCTCACATGGCTCATCATTCAACCATCTTTTGTGTTTCTCTTCTTCTTTTTTTTAATGTGAGTGGTATATGGTGTATGTACATGAGGCTGTGGGTGTTATTCAGTTTGTTTATATGGTGGATCACATTGACAGATTTTTATATGTTGAACCATCCCTACATCTCTGGGATAAAGTCGACTTGATCATGGTAGATGATGGTTCTTTGGATTTGATAATTCTCTGGATTTCCTCCATGTCTGTTGTTATGTCCCCCCTTTCATTTCTGATTTTATCAATTTGGATATTCTGTCTCTGTCTTTTGGTTAGTTTGGATAAAGGTTTGTCTATTTTTTTTTGATTTTCTTGAAGAACCAACTCTGTCTCATTGATCCTTTGTATTGTTTTCTATGTTTCTATTTTGTTGATTTCAGCTTTCAATTTGTTTATTTCCTGCTGTATAGTTCTCTTGGGTGAGTTTTCTTTTGTTCTAAAGTTTTCAAATGTTCTGTTAATTTACTAGTGTGGGATTTTTCCAGCTTCTTTATGTAAGTGTTTAGTACTATGAAGTTTCCTTTTAACACTGCTTTCATTATGCCCGATAAATTTGGGTATGTTGTGTGGTCATTTTCATTGAATTTCAGGAAGTCTTTAATTTCTCCCTTTATTTCTTCCTTGAGTCATTGCTGATTCAGGTGAGAATTGTTTAATTTTCATATGTTTGTGGGTTTTCTGGAATTAGTGTTGCTGTTGAATTCTAGTTTTAAGCCATGGGGTTATTCCAATTTTTTTTTTTTGCATCTGTTGAGGTTTGTTTCGTTACCAAGTATGTGGTTGTTTTTTGATAAGGAGCTGAGAAGAAGGTATATTCTTTTCTGTTTGGATGGAATATTCTATAGATATCTGTTAAGTCCATTTGAATCATAATATCTGTTTGTTCCCTTATTTCTCTGTTCATTTTTTTGTCTGACTGACCTGTCCATTGGTGAGAGTGGAGTGTTGAAGTATCCCACTATTAGTGTGTGGGGTTTAATGTATGATTTAAGCTTTAGAAGTGTTTCCTTTTATATGATGGTGCCCTTGTATTTGGGGCATAGATGTTCAGTATTGAGATTTCCTCCTGATGAATTTTTCCTGTGACTAATATGAAATGTCCTTCTTTGTCTCTTTTGATTGGATTTAGGTTGACGTCTATTTTGTTAGATATTAGGATCACTACCCCAGCTTATTTCTTGCATCTTCATAGACATATCTTTCTTTAGATTGGGAAAGTTTTCTTCTATGATTTTATTAAATATATTTTCTGTGCTTTTGAGTTGAACTCCTCCTTCTTCTATACCTATTAGTCTTAGGTTTGGTCTTTTCTTGGTGTCCCATATTTCCTGGATATTTTGGGTTAAGCTTTTGTTAGATTTAATGTTTCCTTTGACTGAAGAGTCTATTTCTTCTATTGTATCTTCAGCGCTTGAGATTCTCATGCCATACAGTAACCTTTTATATCTGCACTCAGAGAGTTCTCAAGATATGTCAGTCAAGTGGGATGCAGCAATTCCACTGTGTTTCAGTGTGTTGAATGTTGCACAGTGCACCACAATCCTGTCTGGATTCATGTCATCTGTATTCTGGAATCTGAAGGTTATCTGTTAATTATGTGAAATTAGGGCATATGCAGGTATGTCCTTTTGTAGAAGAGACATCATTACACATCATGATGTGTAGTATTCTACCCAGTTCCTGACTGTGTAACCTACTGTAGTGTGTGTACACTTGAACACACAGAAACACACACACCTCTTGCTAGCTAATAGTGATAGAGAATTTGAGAGTGCCTATGTTATTTACTCATTCTAGAAGATTTGAATCTTTGTCTTATATCTCATTTTATGAGCTCAGTGTTACATATGAATAGCCATCACAGTAGCGGAGAAGGTATAAAGATATTTGCTGAAGAGAACAAGAGGAATTTTAATCAGGAATTGTAGGGTTATATAGGGAGAGAAGAGATCCAGACTCCATGATGGATAAGATTCAGCTCTGTATCCTTAGCTTATCCAGTGAGTTGGTATGTTTCAGAGTTTCAGTGGAGGGGACATTTGGGTATGGAGACTAGGGGCACAGATGTGTTCTCTAAGAACTGTAGTGCAAGTATGAGTTTTAACTTTGTAAATACAATCTGTGTCCTAAGTAGTTAATGAGAAGAGCTGTATCACAGATTCTAGTGAATATACCAGAACCAAAAAGCCATGGCAACAGTATCCTAGCAATCAGCACCAATCCTCTTTAGATAGACTGTAATGATTTTGGTACAGGTTCAACATGCATCTCTTTTATTGCTTTGCTCTGAAGAAATAAGATCCTTGCCTGATCCTGACATTGTAGAAATTGCAGTAGCTGAGTTTTGTAATCTAACTGCCTCGAGATCATCCAACCAAAAAGCCTCCTTAGTTGTCTGTGTGTTTGGCAGAAGTGGTCTTTCTATAACTCATGTAGAGATGTATTCTAAGACCAAATGTAGTTGTCATTAGAGAAAAAACACCTACAAATAAATTGATATGATTGACATAAAAATTTAATTTTTTTTATCCACAGAGTCTTCTACATCAAATTACAGTTTAGAGAACTACATTCGGCTCATCCTGGCTATTGTAATCCTGTTAGGTCTTGGAGCTCTATTGCTGGATGCTTGGAGCAGCAGAGAGAGCCCATTAGGTCTTCAGAGAGTCCTAACCTGAAAGTCTTGCTACGCCTTCCACACCTCATCAAAATGCTGGCAATAAAGAGTCTAAGAGGAGTTGTGATC